CTTGCCGACTTGCCTTTCTGTCCAATCCCGTCGCAGTCGCTACATGAGGTTGAGGTGAAGTTGGATCAAGGGTTTGCCACCCACCGCGACTAAAGCCCCACGCAGATCCTCAATGTGGAAACTGATGGTTTGGCTCCGGAGTGCAGTATAGACAGGGCCAGCCTCTATAGCCCTTATGAGTTGTCAGTCTCACCGTCGCCTCAGCGCTTTCTTATTCTCTTTCTCCCTTCCCAATATTGCTGGTTAGCCTGAGAATTGACAAGAAAGAGTATCCAAGATATCACTCTAGCAAATGACCGGAGGCGGTGAAAGATATCCGTTTGGATTTGTCCATTTGGAAAGCCAGCCTTGGATGTCAAACATATCAAGCCACTGGTAAATGGGCACGTTGATCTAACACACCCACAGCATCTATACCCACGTCGACGGTTGCTGAGCATCTCTCTTTCCGCCTGCTCCTCCGCCGACACTTTGTCCCTGCATCTGACTGCCACTGCTTCCCCCTCCCCCCAGTCCTCTCTTCATCATCCGCCCTAATATTCCCACCATTTCGGCCGCATCCTGAAACGAGTCATCATCCATACCCTCCTGCGCTTCATACACGTGCCTGATGGCCATCCTTGCCATCTTCCGCGATGCCTCCGCTTCGTGGAGACAATCGTAGACGTATGCCACGTATTCGACTTTGACAGACAGGCGGACCGGATGAGAGCCGGGAAGAAGGCGCTCGGCGAGTTCGTCGGCTTCACGGAACGCTTGGGTTGCGTAAGGGGTGTAATCCTGCAAAAGAAGAAGGAAAGTTGCTGTGCCGTTGCCATTACCATCGCCGTTGTTGCCATTGGCATGGTAAGGATATGTTGCAGGGAGAGGAAGACCAGGAGGAGTCCGGGTAGTCGCTGTCATTCCCCCACCACCCACTGGGCCCCCAAGACTGATAGCCGGCGATCTTCTTCGTCCGTTTCCCGCAGGAGATCTGATTGTGGTGGCTTGTCTGCCGAGCCTTTCTCTATCCTCCCTTGACTCGCGCGAACTCAAAGGTTCAGGAAACAAGGTATAACTCGCATCCCCGCTCCCAATGCTCCTTCTCCGATTAATGCGATCGTTCACGGGAGGCTCATTATGAAACAGTACAAAAATATGGTAGAAGCTGGCCTTCAGTTTGTAACTCAACACCTTGAGTTCCACGTAATGGCCAACCATTGGGAGCACATATTGCTCCACCATAACAAGGCCTTCGCGGGCGAGCCATAATATGTGGTGAATTAAGTGGCGGGCTTTTGGGTCTCGAACTGGGTCGAGCCGTTTTGCGCGGCGTGCGCGTAGAAGTTTCTCAGCAAGAATTACCGAAAGGCCGAGGACGCGGAACAGGAAACTATTGATCATGTCTGTGTCAACAGCGTCCTTGAACACAGACAGGGGCCTTACCTAGAGAGATAATTGTTCTCCGTGGTAGTAACTTTTGCAAAGTAGCCCAGAAACTTTTGATCCACCTCTGAGGAGGCCATCCAAATCGAATACAAAGGAGGGTCTAATTGACCCTTGCTGGACGGCTGCCACTGTCGAGATAGATATGTCAGTTCCCCGTAACCTTCTTTCCATCGTTTGCGCGCTCTTGTGGGTATTGGCGACTCCGATATGTCATCGGTCCTAATTCCATCTGTATCCATTCTTTGTTTTTGACCTAGAAGTCGTGGAAGTCGCTGGCGAGTGATGTTTAAAACATCCGCCAAGAACCGTCAACTGGAGCAAAGACACTTTGGAAGGCTTGTGGTTGTAAGGGCCTGAATGAACTGGGAATGGCTGAAGAAACTCCTGGCTACCCTCCCAGCGTATCGGCTTGTTGGTAGGGCAAAAAACTCGAGAGGTGCTTCTTGGTTGGTCGGATGCAAGAAACAGACGGACGAAGAAATGCTTCAATAGAGAACTTGGGTTTGTGATACAAGCGAAACATGCAATTTACCTCTAGCCGCCCGGCCTGAATGCGAAGGCGCTTACAACAAATGCCCGCCTTATCAAATTAAGGGGTTCGTGTGGAAGGTTGAACAAGGCTGTCCCAGCCTTGGGTCACCTATTTCGGAGTTTGGGCCTTTCGGAGAATTTGCTTCAACAGGTCGGAGAAAAGCACGTTGAGACCGCCGGCCGTTTTTTGGGTAAAAGTGACTTTTGACTTCGTCTTGGATTATTTAGGAGGGAATGGAAGTGGGATCAGGCGAGCGAGCGTGCGTGCAAACGAGTGACTGTCGCTTTCTGTCTATCAAGATGCGCTTCTGTTCCCGTGGGTATCGACTGTTGGTACAAGTATCAGAAAGAAAAAAGGCGAAAACTTCTGAGGCGAAAGCCAGGGTGATTAGGTTCAAATCTTGACGGGAAATGCGCTGTTGTTACAAAAATGTACAGGTGGAAAAGGGAAAGGGACTCGTAATGGCGGATTGACAGCTCTGCAAAAGGCTGTGCAGCTGTGGTGCTGCCGAAATTGGGTTTCTGAGGCCAGATGTCAGCTCGCAGAGACCGAAGAAAAGTCGCCCATGACGTCCATGCAACGTTCCCGGAGGAAGCTGCAGAGCCACAGCAGCTTGGGATTGGAGCGCCTACGTACAACACACTGGCGCAAAACCGCCTATTCGCCCAGCACCCTTATTATTGGGACCAATGAATCTGGGACAGGTAGTGTTGGAGGTTGCAATTGTGGTCGCAGGGCTTTCGTCTGGAAATGAGGCTGTCGGGTACCGCTTTTTCTGGTCTGACGCATGGTGTTTGGGACGCAGGGGAGAACAAGAGCCTCTGGTCTGTATCGGGGGAGTGGGCGTTCAATTGGGGTGAGCAAGTACCGCTCGAATGTGTTGCTGCGATCTCTCCAAAGGTTTCATCCGGCTTAAATCAGCAAGGTCTTTTTTCTGCCTTTCTTCTCCTTCCCTGGGGGCGATTCAAGCTGGAGAACAAATCGGATGGACGACTGATTGGCGAGGTTGGTGTTGGCTCACGACCGCAGCTCGCTGGGCTAGGAGCAAGGGAAACGCACACAAGGGCAGATTCCGAGACTGGACAGTTGTCAACGGGAGGGCAGGAAGGCGTGCAGTACCGACGCAGAGAGTTGCAGATGCAGGATGCCGGTATGGAGTCGGATATGAACCTAGTTAGTCAAGAACAAGATGGAGGCCGTAGTGACGGTGAACAGCTGCAGGACGAGCAGTAGCGTAGGACGGGGTAGGGCCCCAATGATCACCAAACCATGACGATGATATTCTGGGCAGCAACAGGAGCAAATGAAAGGAACGAAGCCGTTGCCGTCGAGCTTTGTGGAAGCTTGCAAAGTGGAAAGAATGATTGAATGGCACGAAAGATGAGAGGTCAGCAATAGACGAGTGTAGTGGACGAGAGGCTCAGAGACGGGCGATCGGGGAGAAGCTGCATCGTGCCAGCGCATCAAGCGCGTGCTGCCCTGGTCGCTAGAGTCGCTAGCCTTGACCTGACTGGCAATAGTGTGTTAGCCACGGATTGACCCCTGTAGGCAAGTGTGGAGGAGGAGGACTGGGGGCTAGCTGGAGGAGGACAAGCTGCTCACAGACAAGTTTTTAGGGCGATTCTTGAAGATGGGAGATTCCAGGATACTCATGACGAGTACCGAGTACCTCGTAGTAGATGCAGCCATACCAAGTAGGTGCTCTCCCTCCTGTGGCTATATCGCGAGTGTCATGGTTCCCATGTCTTTCTCCTTTTCCTTTGAGGACCAAAGTGCATAGAGGCTGAAGCAGCGGTCAAGGGAATGAGAGGGAAACCAGCGGTGGAGGTGGATGTTTGCTACGTGGCACCCTCTGCGACAAGATCAGAACCCAAAAAGCAAAAGAGAGTTTGGTTTAATTAGTTTTTGCTCATGGCAGCCGAAGCGACCAAGCGAACAAGCTAACAAGCTAAAATGATGGGCTGCATGCAGCTGCAGTACGGAGTACCAAGAGCATCCAGGCGTGGGCCGGAGCATCAGAGGAAGCGTGTGGACACTTGTGTGGACACCGTGTGGACTGCCCAGCTCCGTTGTCCGATCATCATTCTTGTTTCCACTGCGACTGCACTCTCAAGACTCTGTACCTGGACCACTACCTGCACTGGTAGGTAAAGCGGTACCTAGGCACTTACAGTAGGGTGCTAGCGATGCAGTAGACCATCTGGACAACCCGACCACCTTAGGTGCTTAGCTACCTGTTGTACCTGTCTACAATTTAGTGAGCGGATCTAAGAGAGGCAGCAACTTGTATTTAACAAAGGAGGCCCTCCCCCTCCTGCTCCTTTTCACTGTTCATACTCTCCCTTCCCATCCTCCCTCTCTCCCTCTCGTATTCCACATTCTCTCTGCTTGGAGGTTTCTGTCATGATCCTGACAGCTACATCCCAACCAGACCCTTGCTCCAGCCATTTCGACAATTCCCCCATCCTGTCAGCTGCACACTGTATCCGATGCCATGTCGTTCTCCCCAGTGATACAACCTCTGCAAAGCCAGTCTCCCTCCCAGCCATTCTGACCTCTTCCGCTTTCTCTGTATTAATGTCTTATTTCTTGTGGCTGTTGCCCCCGTTGCGCCCTTCTTCAAAACGGCGACTGGCTCCATGTGTGATCCTGCTTCCCTCCTATCGTACGACAGACGTGGTTCGCAGCCTCCAAAGCCACAGGACTTGTGTGATAGAATGATAGAATAATCTGCAAACCCGTTGGAATGTGGTTTTCGTTCTCATGCTTGGGACTGGGTTGTTCCCCTTCCATGATGGACCTCTATCTCGTCCTCGTCCTCATTGGCGCTGGCCAAGTTAGCTCAGATATTGGTAGGCCTCAGATCCAACAACATACCTATAGGATGGCGCACCTTACCGAACGAGAAGTCCAACTTTTGGGCTTCAAATCCGGGTCGATATAGGGTGAATGGTTCTGCCAGTGCCCTCGTGGCGACCCGACAGAGACGACTTAGAAATAGCCGGTGAATATCATGCTCAAGCACTCATCACGGACGATTTCACTTGCCGTCGTCCTGGCCTCCCTCCATTTGACCATATGCCGGTCCTTGAGGGGGCCCATTCATCGCAGGTCCATGGGGCTGCATTTGGTGATGCATCTTTTGCGCCATCTGGCCATATCCACTACTCATGGTTCGGTGCTGCATAGCATACCCCTGATGAGGTGTAGAGCCGTATTGATGTCCTCCGTAGCTGCCACGATGCATCCCCATTTGTTGTTGCGGGAAGGCCATTGGCGCGGCTCCCTGGTTAGAGACGCTGAACATCATGCTGGGTGCAGGTGGATGGCCTTGTTGCGATCCTTGCTGCATCATCATCGGCGCCATCCGTCCCGGACTCGAGTAACCCCCATTTTGCTGGGGATACACTTGACTTGGGTTTGGCGAATACATCTGCATTTGGTGGTTGAAATGCTGCGGCACCGCCATGTATGGCCCATTCGATGGTTGTTGCACCATCATTGGCGCACTCATCTGCCCTACCTGAGCATGCATCATGCCAGGAGTGCCCGGATAGGGTCGCATTTGCATGGGCATCTGGCCCGTAGGCGTTCCAAAGTACGGTTGAGACTGGTAAGAGAGTTGGGCAGGGTGCGCCATGGGCGAAGCATAGGCTGAAGCTTGACGAGAAGCCATGCTTGGCGACGAGAACACGCCTGGCGTCGCTGCACCATATTGCATTCGATGACTAGCATCCTCGTATTGATGAGGAAACTGGTGTGGACCATTGTGTGGTACGTGCTGTGGCGTCGAAATATGTGGGATGTTGCCAGGGCCATTAGGTATCGCCATACCCTGCCCTAGGTATGGAATATGATGGCTCGAAGATGAGCGGCTCTGAGCTGGCGAGATCACAGGAAGTGCCGCTGGCTGTTCGAATACTTCCTCGTAAGTCTTTTGGTCGTTCTCAGGCTTGACAGACCATCGTGGTCCCGTTTGGTAAGCGTTTGGTATACCTCCATTGTTACTATAGTCCTTTTGGACCTCTTCGGTCTTCGCACCTTCTGACAATTTCTTCGGAGCATACTCTGCCTTCATACGAACGATTGGGTTGAAGTCTTTGGCAATAGACGGCCTCTGAGCAGCCGGTTTTGGCTTTCGGTTACCAAAGAACACTGAGGGCGAGGCTGTTCGGGAGATAGAACCCGCACGTTGCGCTGAGCCGGGGCTCGAAGGTGTTTGCGAGGGACCTGCTGGATTGAAGGATGCCGCAGTTGGACGAAACTCGGAAGCTTTCACGTTGAGATTGAATTTCCCAGAAATGGCCGAATTGGGAGTATGCATGTTGGATCTTTGTGGGCTGGTCATCCCAGTTTGTTCGGCCATGGGTCCAGTTGGCGGTACACGTCCTTCAATAATGGGAATCGGCGCAGGAATGGAAGGAGGCTGAATGCTTTTGCGGTCCTGCTGATGTGCACCAAATCTTGATTGATATGGAGCGCTGTTGTTTCGACCGGGGAAAGGTGGTGGCTGTTGCTGGCCGGCGGGCCGGTCAGACCGGCCAGCTGGTTGAAATCCTCCACGACCACGATGGTACACTTGTCGTTCCGGTATAGGTGGTTGAGGTTGTGGAACATCGGCTTTGCGGGTGGTGTTGCTAGCCACTGGGGCTTGCGAAGGGCTCGGCTTAGCAGTTGATGTCGATTCGCTAGACTCCTTTTGTGCTTTTTCGACGATAGCCTCTTGCTTAGCCGGATCTTTGGCCAGGATGCCGATCAGATCATTCGGAATCGGAGTCTTGAGTTTGAACGTCTTCGAGAAGCGTAGAAGTTCGTTCAACTTAGCAGCGCGATCTTGGTTAGCTTGAGCCTTTCTCCTCTCAATAACCCTTTGCTTCTCGATATCAGCGAATTGGCGGAATTGGTGGAGGACTTTAACTTCAACGTTTTCAGTGGAGCCCTGAGAGACAGCTTTGTTGCTGGGTTGTTGCTCGATATTCGCGTACTCAACCTTGCCAGGAGTCGCTGGAGTAGCGGGTTTGACGACCTTGTCGGATTGAGTGTTCTGTGTTGACGCCGTACCATTTAGCTCAGATACCGGCTTGTCTGGCGCAGTGGTTGTACTCTTCTCGGCAGCAACGGGTCCATCTTTTTCGTGCCTCGATTTTTGCGAGTTCCCCGTGCCGGGTTCTGGTCGAGAAAGTTGCGCGGATATGATAGCGGGGTCTACAGGCGCTCCTGGAACTGTTGCTTGGGCAGTAGGCGCACGCCTCGCTGGAGGGGTATACTTATTCGCTCCGCCAACGGACAGTGGTGGATATAACTGCTCGTCACGACGAACTCCACTGTATTTCTCTTCCTCGTCCTCGCCATCATTCTCGAGAGCCTGACCACGTTCCTCGCGAATATGTGCATTTGTCGATGTTGAACCTTCAATCTCCCGCGCGATCCTTTCAGCTTCAGCTTCTCGGCGTTTGTAGGACGGCGCGTTGCGGTCAATGGTGGTTGTATAGAGGTTTTCATCGTAGGTGCTCTTAGCACCGAACAACTGAGAGTTGGTGGCAAACTGATCCCAAGTAGAGGTATTTGCCGACCCTAATGAGTAGTCAGTGGTGTCTGGTCCTTCCGGCACCCATCTTTGTAATTCCCGTTCACCCCGAGCTTGATTGCCAGAGATATCGGTGTCAGTCTGGAAGGTTGAGGTAGAGCCTGCGGGGGTAATGTTAGAGCGCATTTTGAAAGGAGCCGATGGAGTGACCATACCATTGGTGAGTTTCGAGGTCTCAGGTAAAGAAAAGTCGGCAATGGTCATATCGGCAGTATCCTTCAGATCAAAGTTCATTGCATACTCTGGACTCGAACCAACTAAGGCCGCTTCCCGAGTTGCTACACCGTTTGCCTGGCCTGAGGTAGCAGGTTGTATTTTTCTAACCATTTTGAGAGTTATCCTCGTGCTGGTTGGTGTGAGTGACGAGCCGGACAACAGACCCTCAAACTTTTCTCCTGATTTGGACGTAAGGACGATGTTCAACCCCTACCACCCAAGGTCAGTTACCATCTCATTGGACGGGGATCATGGTTGGCATATACTATAGCAGCCCCAAAGAGGAACACCAATCTCTCGTGTGCTTGCTTGTCTGTAATGCCTGCATCCCTCTGCGCGCTGGGCCTCATCATGTTTGTGTTCCTGGGTTGGGCAGTGTTCCCATTCTGGTGGACAGGCATGGAGCCTCGTTGCTGGAACGAGTTTGAGGAAGAACCCCAGACTTTCTGAGAAGCCGGACGCCTAGCACTGGGTTTGATCAGCAGGGACCTTTGTGAGGTTTGACATGCAATAAAACAATCATGGTTGCATTGCACCTTCTCCCAGACGAGACGAGGATGTAGCCCAAAAGACGGTCCAGCCTGCAAAGTTGACGGGATAAACGTCTCGGGTTGCGTGTGCATACCTTGAAATTCCGTCACTACCAGGACCACCAGGACTCTGCTTGCGCCCTGCATCCACACCCTTCTGGTTGCTACTTGATCTCATTGTGCCCCTTGCCAAACCATTATTTTGTGGGGGATTGACTGCAGTATTCAAATTCGGGGAAGGGATGCTGGCTGCAGAGGCCATGAGCTGCCCGTGTTGGTAGCCACGTCGCACAGGAGGTGCTCTGGGTACGAGCTGAATCGACGGGAACCGGCCAGTCAGACTGCGATTGTACTGCGGAGGATTTTGTGTTTCAGTAAGATCCCGGGGCCAGGGGAAAAATTAGACTGCGAGACAGCAACGGAACGGCCTTGAATGTCTCGGTGGAGGGATGGCCGTTGACAGTGGCAGAGACGGTGGTTAGAGGGCACGAGCCTCAGGGAAAAAGTCGAAGGGTGGTGGAAATGGGGAGAGCAGCTGGCGGGAAAGGCGCAGGCACTGGGCCGCAGTCACAATTGCGGGACCGAGACAAAGGGTCGCAGGGACCTTGGGGACCTCGCAGACCAAGGACAAGAATAATTTTAAAAAGGAGGGTGATGGACTGACAAGCGGCCCGCTTACAGTCTAGCCTAGAAGGGCGTTCAAGAATGAAGAATGCCGCAGCAACTGAGTAACAGAAACCGCAACGAAGGGGGATGGGATCAGATGGGATGGAGAGGTTTGGAAAGAGAAGAAAGAAGTGAGGTTGTGCTTTGCGGTTGCGGTTGCGGTGGTTCTGTTGGGGCTTGTTTGAGGAGTTCACTTTGGGAAAGCTGGAGACAGACTCGAGCGTTTGACAGTCTGTTTCCCCGATGGGTGGATTCTGGAGGCCATGAGTCCTGGGAGCCGCACCATGAGTGGCCAGCTGGGCACCTAGAACTCTCAGTGCCCGTCAATCGTCATCCGGGCGCGGGAGCTGCCTTTTCCATGACCCTCTAGGCGTCGACGCCTGGTCTTGGTCTTCCTGAACGTGGTACTCTCACATCATTCTGGAGTACTCGGTATACCTCGCACCTTCAACGGAGGGAGTACAATTGTCCAGCGATGTCTCAGTCAGTTTGTTATTCTTATCCTTCACCATCATTATCATCTTGCTCCCTCGGGCCCAACATGGAGAAGGCCGATGAGTGATTTCCGTGTCCGCCGAATCCTCTGACTCAAATTACATCTCACTAGGTATTGTCGATTTCCTTTGGTACGGAGCTGAACATGTGCCAAAGTTATGTGCCACGGGTCTTTCCCGAAGCCCTTCGTTTCCGACGGCCGTCGATCGCTTGCCCTTCCCCGCCCACGCCGGCGAATGATGGTTGAATCTTGCTGTGTGGAAGGTCTAAAACGAGGAGGCGTCTGCACACCATTAAACTGATATGCTATCACAACTATCACAACTCTTTAACATGGTCAAGATCCATCATTATTGCAGCAGGCGTAGGGAAAGCCCTGCATTTCCCTGCCTCAATGACTACTACGTGGTACCTGCGTTCGTTTGGCATTTCATTCATCAGAGTCGACGAGTCACTGCTCAGCAGTCTCTACCTCTCGCTACTCAGTACAATTATTCCACAGTACAGCCCACAGTCAAGTCGCGTTGCCCGTAAACATTGCGCCCTGCATGCTTCATTGCGTTTCGCTAAAACATAATAAGTTGAATCCATCCAGCTGCCCGTTGCATCACAATCTCAATGAGTTGAGAATGGCTGATGTCATTGACCGGTACTGGTTCATTCCCCCTTGCACCTTCTTGAACTGGATCCCATGGAGAGAAAGAAGGGGGATCTTGACAATTGCAATCTCGAATTTGAGCACCAATCGCTCACCACTGTCCTCTTGAACCCGAGTTCTTGTAGCGCCTCCATCGTGAGCCTCGGGTCCTCGATTTTGTTGCAGGTACTCGTCCGACCCCTCGGAGTTGGTCACGAAGCTCTGGTCCGGTTGTCTTCTTCTCGCATGATGTCGGGTCAACCGATCGTCCCTAATGTCTTCTCTCTCTTTACCCCGGAATGCCCCGCCGAATGAAATCCGGCGTTGATGTCCACTCGTAACGCGTCCACTTCTGTCTTCGTCGAGCCCGGCTACGGGTTCCTTGACCCCTTCGAGGTTGATGCTAGGCGCGTGTCTGCAAGAAAAGCCACCCTTAATCACGGTATATTGCACCCCGAGCTGATTCAAGACGCGAATAATGTCATGCCTGATGAACTCAGGTGGCTTACTGCTGGTAGTTGAAGTCGAGAATAGCCCCTTGAGACTGGCTGGCTTTGAGATTTCGGTCCCTGGGGTATCGGGAATGGCGGGTGTGTCAAGGACATCGACCTCATCTCGCATCTCAGCGTCAGTCTCCTCAGGGACGTTAGCTTCTGCTCGACGCTCTTCATGGCGGCGTCGCCGGGCTTGGATGCTCTCCTGCCGTGCGTGACCTAAGGATTTGGTCCGCGTAGTAGTTGGGGTGCGAGGTGTCGTCAGAGGGCTGGCGTTAGGAGCGGGCTTGTCGGTAAGCTCCACGCCCTTGCTAGCTCGACCAGCGTTCACACTCGACTGATCAGAGCCGCTGGTCGGTGGTGGCTCAGGCACAAGCATTGGAGACTCGTTGCCCGTCGTCCCTCTATGTAGAACACGTCGAGGACGATATTCGGCGGAGTTGACACTGGTTGATCTACCCAAAAACTTCCCGGCTCTAGATAAGCCGCCACTGGCACTCAATAGACCCTCATGCTGTGGTTGGCTGCCCCCTTGATGATGAGTTGTTGGGCTTGGGTCTCTCCTCCGTGAACGTCGAACAGAGAATGACTTCCGTGGAGGAGTCACTGAATCAGCCGGAGGCTGGATATTCAGAGCTGGTGGAGGTTGGGGTCGTTCCATGTCACGGTCCCGGTACCGTCTGGTACTAAACCTTCGCAGAAGACCCAAGGCCGTCCCCTCGCGCTTCGCAGGTTGATCAGGTTGAGGAATTGCATGCAATGGAACCACATTTGGAGCCGGTTTTCGCTCGGCAGCCTCCAACGACTTCGCAACGTGCGGTATGTCATCCTCACCATTTGTTCGAGCCCGCGGTCTTGCCCGACCACCGGTGGCTCTTTCTCCAGGCATTTCTGGTGCAAAGGTGTTTGTATGAGCAGCTTCCGGTGTAGGTAGCCCTGGAAGCTTGAGAGGCGCCTCCTTTTCCGTCATAGGCATGGCCAGCGCGCCAGGATTTGGTTGCTGTCGCTCTCTGTCACGTTTTTCACGTGCAAGGTAATATATAGAGACCAGTGGGCTGTAGGCATTGATGGGGTCATGTCCTCTGATGGCTTCAGACGACGGCACCGAAAGACCCTCGCGGCTGATTGAATTTCGTCGTTTATAAAAGTCGAAGACTCCACGCTTCTTCTCTCCACTGTTCGAGGTGTGGCTGTAATCATCTTTCGCACTTCTCCTTACAGCATTCTGGTAATCCTCTGATTCGATAATACGGGTTAACTGCTCAGTGATGTATGCCGAAGACCCAAAATCGAACCCTTGCATTTTGTCAATGACCTCAGGATCAAGCGGCAGCTGAAGTGGTTCCCGGTGTGGGAGATAATTATCCGGTGGGCCATTGAAGCCTTTTGTCATCCAAGGATGGTTCATGATTTCCTGAAGACTGGCTCGATCTCGAGGATCCACCACGAGCATGCGCGAGATAATATTCTTGCATTCTAGAGGCCGTTAGCAAATGGGAACTCTTGTGTTGGGACAAACACGTACCAGCTGTAAGCCACTGTGGATAGTCAACAATACCTCGTTTGATCTTTGCGTGCAACTGAGGCATGCTTTGATCATCAAATGGCACTTTGCCACAGACGAGGACATAAAGAACAATCCCGAAACTCCATACATCAACTTCAGGACCAGTATACTGCCGGGCTTGCAACAATTCTGGTGCTGCAAAATACAAACTTCCGCAGAATGTCTTCAGAAGTGAACGAGGTGAATAGAGGTTGCTGAGTCCAAAGTCGATGATCTTGATATCCCCGGTCTTGCTGATAAGAATATTCTCGATCTTGAGATCCCGATGAACAATGCTGTTTCGATGGCAGTAGTCCAGCGCACTTGCAATCTGTCGAGCAAACTTCCGTGCTTGTTTCTCTTTCAGCCTGCCATGAGCAATAATGTAATCCAGCATCTGCCCGCCGTTCACATACTCAAAAAGCATGTACCAGTGGTAGTTCGTCCTCTGGACATCGATCATTCCACAGATGTAGGGGTGGGATAGTAGTGACACCATGGCAGCCTCCCTCGCGGTTCGAATTTCTTTCGAACGATCAGCACGCTCATCCTTCGGATTTCCGTGGTCGTCAGCCGCCTGGCGTGGGACAATTTTGATGGCTGCTTGTTCTCCGGTCTCCGTGTTCCTTGCCAGCTTGACCTTCCCCATACTACCCTGACCAATTGTTTTTCCCAGTGACCAAGTTCCTGTCTGGCATGTTATTGATGTTCGTCTCCGCCCGATCGTGGGATAGGTTTGCGAGGCGTGTGTTTCGGTCCGTGGGGTGGTGCTAGGAGGGACTTGTGGAGTTGCTCCATTGGCGTTTACTGTCGTAGGTGCAGTTAGATCCTGACTGTTGCGTCTGGATCCAGGTCGAGATGAAGACCGTCCGTGAGCAGACGCCTCAGTATGATATTCGCCTCTCCCATCTCTAGAGGTGCTGCGACGAGAGGAAGTTGTGCGAGCGACATTCGACTGTTCGAAGTCTCTCCTTGCGACATTTGC